AGATTCAAATGGGTCAGACAGAATCAAAAGAATCAGACAGAATCAAACAAGTCAGACAAAATCAAACGAGTCAGCAGAATCAAACTAGTCCGGCAGAATCAAACGGGTCAGACAGAATCAAACGGGTCAGACAGAATCAAATGTCAAACTTCATATTATTTAAACTATTTAAAATATATTCAGAAAATTATAACAAAAATGGAACCAAGAACAGAAAGAACTCATTTTAGTGTACTGATGCTGCTCAATAATACAGGTAGAATAATCTAACAAAGTTAAGTCAGGTCCTCTGGACGGATGCGTCTAGAGGATCTGACTTGACATTGTTAGGACTAATTTTAGTCTTAAAATTTTGACCGAGTCTTTGAGCATAACTTGATAAGAGTTTTGGATGCCTGGTTTTTATTTTGAGCCTAAGGAAGAAGGAATCAATTCTTCCAACCCTGAATGTGTCAGTCTTGGTTCCATCGTGGCCATAGTCGGCAATCAGCGCCGCGCCACCGTCCTCAACGATCCGCCGAGCCAGGTGTTGGACAATGACTCCACCCTCTGCACACACCTCCACATGAGCCCGCCTTTCATTGGCCTGAACACACAAAGGTATACCTGAGAGTTCTGTGGCCCGGTAAGTCCTCCAGGTGAATCATGTGATCTGGTACCTACCTGTATGAGTGTGGATGAGGCAAGAGTCGGACTTGGTGCCACAACAAACCTCAGCTTCTCTGGATCATCAGGATGGATGTCCACCAGAACTTCCCTCCAACCATTTTCTGTCCTCTAACAAGGAGTAGGCAAAGGGTCAAAACCAGTCTGGATTTATTCAGGATTTTCTCTGATCCACGTGGTCAGAATTATTTAAACAGGTTAAACTAAATCCATACCTACTGCTAAGATTCAGTTAACTGTCCTGAGCGAACAGAACCCACAGGTTTACAATCTGAAGTCGGGCTTTGGAAGGCCCATCCTGAAGCTGTATGGTAGTTGGATTTATACAATCAGAGACCAGTTCAGATGCGTGTCTGGGAACATGGTCCTGTTGGATCCAACCATGTTCAAATGTCAACCATCCAGATGTTTTTTATTCAACTTTTATTTCTACAGTCCTGATGCATGCTCTATAATCCAGGTAGAAACATCTAAAAAGTTGTCAGTTCCTCTGGACATTCAAGAAAGAAAATAAAAAATTGTAGAAACATTGTGTCTTTCATCTGAAAGACTTCTTCAGTCTGAGGAGCTGTGTTCGTACTATAACGCAGTAAATCATTATTTGACAAAGACTGGATGGAGAAGAACATTTGGTCTGTTGTCACGTAATGGATGTTAATGGTTAAATGTTAAACTATGAACAATTCTGTGCAAAGTATCAATTCTATCCGCCCAAAGTTGAATTTACCAGATTAATTAAAGCATTACCAAAACTATTTATTAATTACATTCAAAATATAATACATATAACCCCACAACTACCCACTCTATCTATTAATGGAATATCATTTACTGACAATAAATTCAACACCCACACAATTAGAAGCTGTCCGAATGAAACCTTATTCCCTGGGAAAATAAATAAAAATAACAAACTTTGCATATTTGAAGAAAAAAAACAAAACAAATGAAATGTTAAGAACTTTATATTTAAAACTCTCCATACAAGCAAAGTGTAAAGAAACACTTTAAATGTTGAATGCAGTTTACTCCTCCAAAGAGCTACGAAGAAATTATTTTAATATTGATGACAATAAATGCTCGTTCTGTGAACAGGATATAGAAACAATAGACCATATCTTCTATGAATGCAACAAAACAAAAATATTCTGGAATCACATGGAAAGATGGATCACACTGAAAATGACACTTCCTCAACCTATTTCCAGAGACATGGTAACATTTGGAGAATTATTGGAAAACAAAAAAATGGAACTCGGTTGTAATCTGATATTTTATCTGGAAAAATTATTTATTCATAAACAGAGAGCAACATTTTTATACGAATTCAAATTATATTTGAAATCTCTGAAATATACTGAAACATGAAGACCTGTATGAAATGTTAATGGAACTGCCCACTAACGCATGTTAATCCTAATCCTAAAATATATAACCCCTTGTTGTAGTTTATTTTATTTCTTTTTTCTCTTTCTTTCATATCGAAGTCTGCCTCTGTTGTGACCTTTTAGTTACACTATTGTGAATTGACACATTTGTTTGTATTTGTTTCAGCTAAATAAAGTTTTCTTAAAAAAATTAAAAAAAGAGGAAGGAGTGTGGGCTCCACAAATGTGCAGCAGGTGCTAGATACAGTGTCTTGCTAAAGTATTCGGCCCCCTTGAACTTTTCAACCTTTTGCCACATTCCAGGCTTCAAACATAAAGATATAACATTTTAATTTTTTGTGAAGAATCAACAACAAGTGGGACACAATCGTGAAGTGGAATGAAATTTATTGGATGTGTCAAACTTTTTTAACAAATAAAAAACTGAAAAGTGGGGCGTGCAGTATTATTGGGCCCCTTTACTTTCAGAGCAGCAAACTCAGTCCAGAAGTTCAGTGAGGATCTATGAATGATCCAACGTTGTCCCAAATGACTGATGATGATCAATAGAATCCACCTGTGTGTAATCAAGTCTCCGTATAAATGCACCTGCTCTGTGAGAGTCTCAGGGTTATGTTCAAAGAGAGCATCATGAAGACCAAGGAACACATCAGGCAGGTCCGAGATACTGTTGTGGAGAAGTTTAAAGCCGGATTTGGATACAAAAAGATTTCCCAAGCTTTAAACATCCCAAGGAGCACTGTGCAAGCAATCATATTGAAATGGAAGGAGTATGAGACCACTGCAAATCTACCAAGACCCGGCCGTCCCTCTAAACTTTCATCTGGAACAAGGAGAAGACTGATCAGAGATGCAGCCAAGAGGCCCATGATCACTCTGGATGAACTGCAGAGATCTACAGCTGAGGTGGGAGAGTCTGTCCATAGGACAACAATCAGTCGTACACTGCACAAATCTGGCCTTTATGGAAGAGTGGCAAGAAGAAAGACATTTCTCAAAGATATCCATAAAAAGTGTTGTTTAAAGTTTGTCACCTGGGAGACACCAAACATGTGGAAGAAGGTGCTCTGGTCACATGAAACCAAAATCAAACTGTTTGGACACAATGCAAAATGATATGTTTGGAGTAAAAGCAACACAGCTCATCACCCTGAACACACCATCCCCACTGTCAAACATGGTGGTGGCAGCATCATGGTTTGGGCCTGCTTTTCGTCAGCAGGGACAGGGAAGATGGTCAGAATTGATGGAAGATGGATGGAGCCAAATACAGGACCATTCTGGAAGAAAACCTGTTTGAGTCTGCAAGAGACCTGAGACTGGGACGGAGATTTATCTTCCAACAAGACAATGATCCAAAACATAAAGACACATCTACAATGGAATGGTTCACAAATAAACGTATCCAGGTGTTGGAAGGGCCAAGTCAAAGTCCAGACCTGAATCCAATCCAGAATCTGTGGAAAGAGCTGAAGACTGCTGTTCACAAACGCTCTCCATCCAACCTCACTGAGCTCCAGCTGTTCTGCAGGAAGAATGGGCAGAACTTCAGTGTCTCCATGTTCAAACCTGATGGAGACAAACCCCAAGAGACTTGCAGCTGGAACTGCAGCAAGAGGCGGAGCTACAAAGTATTAACGCAAGGGGGCCAATAATATTGTACGCCCAACTTTCAGTTTTTATTTGTTAAAAAAGTTTGACACATCCAATAAAATTCATTCCACTTCACGATTGTGTCCCACTTGTTGTTGATTCTTCACAAAATATTAAAATTTTATATCTTTATGTTTGAAGCCTGAAATGTGGCAAAAGGTTGAAAAGTTCAAGGGGGTCAATATTTTGCAAGGCACTGTAATTTAAAATAATTTATTATAAATAAAAATTTCATGCCGATCGTGCGGCTCATCCATCAATCAGCCAGTTGTGTGTCATGTCCAATCTTATTTTGAAAAACCGCGATAGAGCAAGTCCATGAAAAACGAACTGCGAAGCAGCGAGGGACTACTGTTCAGTTTCAACCCGAGTGGATCAGAGAACATCCAGAATAGAAACTTGTTTTAAAACCCCTCAGAGTTGTTTGTTGAAAATCGTTCTACCTGGAAGAAGAAGCTCACCTGGAACTTGTAGATGGGCAGAGCATCAAAAAACTCATGAGCAACAAAGATGCTGAAGTCTGAAAACAGAAACTTTGTTAGAGTGAATTCCACTTCCTGTAAATTCAGTTCAACTTCCTGTAGAGCTCTCGATGAGTCGTGTCTGACTGAACACTGAAAAAGAACTTAGCATGTCGCCCACCACTTCAGTCAGCCCTGTGAGCTGGACACAACTCAGGTGAGAACACACCGAGTCAGAACCATCAGTTCTGACCCGACCCAGCTTTACCTGGGGGGACATCTTCCAAGCGACGGTACCAGAACACTGGAAGCCCCACAACAGTTTTACCACGGCGGTAAACTGGGTCGTCCTCGCTGCTGGCCTCCTGGTTGCAGATTCCTGTCAGAGTCTGAGCCTGGACCCGACTTAGAGCGGGACTCACCTCCACCAGGTGGAGCGACACAGAGGCTCCACCTACAACTGACTGCAGTTGACCGAAAACCTGCGGAAAAACACAAACAATTCATCTCTGGAGGCGGAGCCAACAAGGAACAAACAGAAGGGGCGGAGCCATCATGGGCATAACCTGCAGGGAAGGGGATCGTGACTAACCCTAACTCAGTCCCACATTTTAAACCAGTAGTTCTAAAACAGGGGCTCCCAGACCCCCGGGGGTCTGCGAGCTGGTGCTTGGGGGGTTTATAAAAAAACTACAAATTAAAAAATTAAATACAT